TATATATATATATATATATATATATATATATTTCAAAACTTTTGTTCTTTTAAAATTTCAACACTTCTTTATATTTGTTTTCATCCTTTATATTTTTTTTCATCAATAACCTATGTAGTTGATGAGTAATTAAGATTAGTTTGTAAAACATTAATATTATTTTGAGTTCAACATTATGCCTTACAAAGAATACAAATGAAGTAATTAGAAATATTTTAAAAACTTGTAAATCAATAAATGAGAGTAATTTTTTTTTTCTTCTGAATATGTATAAATTAAATATTCCCTAATCTATAAAATGCCAAAAGAACCAAATTTTGGAGAGAAAAAAAAATCCCATCGAATGCAATTCTAGGCATGAATGTAGACATTTCTATCGACGGATATTTAAATCTTAATTCAAATCTCAGGCTTGCATTTAAATAGTTCTGTTCTATTTTGCAAAATATGTTTAATTTATTTATTATAAAAATAAACTATTGAATAACTGACATTTTACGTCTTAAAAAAACTTACTTGGCGTCAATTAATTTTTTTTATTCACAGGATTACGAAGACGATATTAGAGTTATTATTTTTCTCTAAATTACTTAACACAACTGTAATCAAATACATATATATATATATATCAAATACACATAATTAAGAAAGAATATGGTGTTACGAAGATTTCTTTGACTCCAAAGTTTATCTCACCAACTTCTCTATACTTTTCTTAAGAATTAAACTTATGAGGTCCACTTCTTAAGAAAAACCACATATACTTTTACTCAAGTTGACCCAACTAATATAAAATAGAGATTCGTTTACTTCAAGAGTAAGTTTATCTAAACTTACTCTATTCAATAACTTATGTTTTACACTAAATTTTAATTATTCAACCGTTGAATTTAAAATTCTTAATATATAGATCAAGTTTAAATTTTTTTAAAAAAATTTTGAAAATCATTTGATATTTCATTTTATTAATTCAAATTGACAGATAATCATAAAATCATTTTATACGTTAATTTACATTAATGAAACGAAATATCAAGTAGTTTTCAAATTTTGTTAAAATTTGTAGACTTAGTCTATGCATTAAGAATTTTAAATTCAACGGTTGAATCATTGAAATTTGATGTGGAATATGAATTATTAAATAGAGTAAGTCTTAGAGTAAACAAATCTCTCTTTATATATATATATATACACACACACATGAGGAGGGTTTCACTTACTCTAAGAGTAAGTTTGTTTAGACTTACTCTACTCAATAACTCATGTTTTATATCAAATTTTACCAATTCACCCATTAAATTAAAGTTTTTAATGCATAATGATTTTCAAAATTTTTAAAACTTTGCATTAAGAACTTTTAATTCAACTTTGTGGGTATAACACCTCTTAGATATGAGAAGTCTCAATGGTTCATTCCACAACATTTTATAAGTGATATTTCACACAACTTCGTGTTGGTCAAAACCCTTCACCCGTCAAAATCTTCCATAAGTAGTCCTTTTTAAGATGTTTGTTTGTTTTTAAGATCAATAACTAATTCGACAAATCAGTACAAAACTTTTCGACGTGCTTTGTTCTCATACGAACACTTTCTAAGAAACTTACCAGAAGCTCACTCATCCCTAAATTACTCAAAGACAAACATGTTTAATTGTGAAGTTCTTTTGTAATGAGCTACCAAAAAATAGATACATCTTATTAGTATAGATAGTAGGATTAACTTCTTTAAGTCATCCTCAATTATACAATCTCACACTTATACAAATCTCTGGATCCCTTTCATTTTAGTTTGTTCAAGCTATTACAATTAGA